TTGCAGCACTTTGAAATAAATGTTGATGGAAAAAATCGAGGCAAAATAGTGATTTTTGGCAATTTTGAGATGTCCCCTCGTTGCCATGGTAACAGGAAATTCAAGACTGAGCATGTCGTTACAAAGGCAATGGTCTAGTCAACATTTGTGCCAAGTTTGATTAGTATTGAAGCATTTTTCATAGTTTCATAGCAGTTTGAACTTGTAAGAGGAGGCTTTTCAGTGAAAATGGCGATTTTTCACAACATGCTCATGGGGGAAAGGGTTAAAGTGATTTCCTCCTACTATTTTCAGAAAATATTTTACTAAACCTTTATTATAACTTACTGGTATGTGTTTGACTACCGCTGGAAACGCATGATGTCCCGTCAATTGTATTTTCTACAAAACCACCACCACATTTACACTTTGAATTTACTGTGTCACATTCCGAATCTGGCACGGTGCACTCATGCCCATTGCTAGTACATGGCGTCTCCGATATCTTAGCTTTGATAAACCAGACATAAAGATATATTAGGTATTACAATTAAAACATTTTTTTATTTTATCCTTTTCTATGTTTCTTATTTAACAAGCCTAAAACATTGACGAGATTTCTCCCTAACCATCTCTTCTAGGATGTTTAAGTTATTCTGCCACATACGATAACGTAAAATGGTTAAAGGCTGGAAGTAAAATTTTCAAATTAGATTCTAAATAAAATATCATGGCCTATTTAACCGTAAAACGAGTGGTTTTCAGATAATGCTCAAATAACAAAACGTAGATACACGGAAAATTGCAAGTTTGAGATTTCTTAATTTTTTGTTTTGTTTTAGAAACATTTTTTAAGATTAATAGCTCTACGAAAGAAACGTTATCTTCAAATTAGCTTGATACTTACGGCACACCATTGTTATGAGATATATGTTCTAATAAACAATTCAGGAATTATGTTTTTTGTTTGATTTTTGAAGAAGCTAGTTCGTACATAAGAAAAGGAAATATACATGTCTTTTAATTTAAATGTAGAATATAGTTTATTGAAATAAGGACCATTGGAAACCTTATAGGTCATCAAACACTGCTAAAACTGAAACGTTGCAAGTTGGCATTACATGAAAATAGCAAACTCGGTTTGACTGAGTCTGTACATGAGGGATAATGAAAACGTGCAACGTCCCTCACTTCCCCAAACGCACCGATTGAGTGGCACTCAGTAAGGATAATCAAGAGCGGCAGTGTTTCCGTAAAGGAACATACATGAATTTCAATTAAAATGTAAAATAGAATAGAATTTAATTAAAATGAGGACCACTGGAAACCTTTTAGGGTCATCAAAACACTGCTAAAACTGAAACATTGCAAGTCCGGGTTGATCAAATATCTGGAAAAAAAGAGATCCCTCGTAAGCATTACATGAAAATTGCAAACTCGGTTTCCAGATTTTGATTGAGTCTGTACATGAGGAATAACGAAAAAGTGCAACGTCCTTCCCGCTCCCTAGCATCGGTTGAGCGGTATTCAGTGAGGATAATCAAGAGCGACATTGCTTCCGTAAAGGAACTATTAGGCTATGTGACATGACGGGTCTCAAAATATTTTTTAAGATAAATGTTCCATTTGATGTAGATCTAGACTAGTAACGCGTGATCTTTCGCTTATTCCATTTTTAGATGACTTTATTATATTTCAGAGAGTAATATGATTTGTGTACGTGTTTACCTACCTGAAGTACAGATTTGACCAAAACATCCAGCTAGTAAAACATGTAAAAGTAGAGTCATACGAGAACGGCTGACATGAAAGTGAGTCATGTTTACGTCTTAAACTAGTGAAGGTGCTAAACAATGAATAAGATAAAATACATACGGTATATTTGATTTGCAAACTTTAGGACGAACTTAATTCCCTGTTGTTATTATTTACACAACGATAATTAAGAAAACTGTTAAGGGTAAACTTATTAGAAGAATAATGTAAGTGGTAAATTTAGATAGTTATACTTAATAAGTATTTTAAGAATTTTCTCAACAATTTAATTACATATTGGGTAAAAATTATAACATCTAACATCAAAGTAAACTTAATCAGAATTAATAATGCACAAAAGATATTTTTATTTAATATAATAACATTGAGAAAAAATTATGTAACTCAAATTGCTTTGATCAAATTCAATTATAAGTATTTGTAATAATTCTATCATAATTCGCATTGAGATGTTTTCATAACATATTTAACAAAATCTATGATTATTATAAAATTCTGAATAGAAAATCTCGATATTGGGTAAAAATTATAACATCTAAAATCAAAGTAAACTTAATCAGAATTTATAATGCACAAAAGATATTTTTATTTTATATTATAACATTGAGAAAAAAAATCATGTTACTCAAATTGCTTTGATCAAATTCAATTGTATGTATTTGTAATAATTCTATCATAATTTGCATTGAGAAGTTTTTATAACATTTTTAACAAAATCTATGATTATTATAAAATTCTGAATAGAAAATCTCGAGAAAAATGACTTACTTGTATAAGACAATGTTCACCGCAATGCTCAATATACTTAACAAATTTTTCTTTTATATTGTACCAGATACATTTACATGGTAGCAATAATAAACAAAGATGAGTTCAACCAATCATTCTCACGGCATGTCGAAAGCATGTTCTATCCTGTAATAATAATTGTATGTGATTGTAAGTGGTTTCTAAATGATCAAAACGCGTACGTGCGCAATCGGGCATTTTCAAATAAGCGAAAGTCCTCTAGAATTTGTGTATAAAATCTGCTCACGTAAGTATACGTGTATATTACCAGGGAGGTAAACATGCATTTACAGATAAAATCACGCAAGCAAGCGTTGCTGTTGCATTTTTTCAAGAAGTATGACTTAGGAACCCATTCAAAATAGCTTTATGCATTGACGACCCCAGTTGTTTCAATATCAAAACATAGCTGTCAAAAGATGTCGTACTAGCACAGCGAAAAATCGTTAATACCGTATCAGGACTTTTACTTTTATGCTAGAACAGTTTGTTTGAACATTCTTACAGAAGCACGGAGACGAATTCAAAGTTCCAGAAAAGGTGAATTAATTATTAATTAGCAAAATGGATGAGTAGTCTACCTATAAAAGCATCTGTACTTAGAAAAAAAAAACGTTTTATTATAGAATTATATAAATATATCCACGTATTTCAATCAAGTCAGTAATTGTGACATTACATTTACTTATCATTTTCAAAATACTTAACTTTGCTGGTTTATGAATTTGAAATATGACAAAGTATTTTACTCAACAAAACCAAGAAATGGATACGTACAAAGTTTTATTTAATGTAAAATAAAAAAGAAAATACCCTTTATATCATGTTAGCGATAAAATTTATGCAATCAGATTTCAATGCTTACAAAAAAATGTGTTATCTGTATGTTAACCTTTTAAGCCATTGATATCAGCTTCTTTCGAAATATATGAATAAAAATGATTAAAATGCCAAATATTAGTTTAAATAATATTATGTTCTTCCTCTGTAAAGTTTTTTTAGTTTTGTAAGTTATCAATGAAAATATAACGTCCCTAGCTGGATGAGCTACAGCGATGAGGAAAAGTGGTTTGAAGAATATAATTATAATGTTTAATACGATTGATAAACTAAAATTGTTACATAAAAAATCTAAATTTAAATATCATTCTAAGACTTATTAATGGTAAAGATATCTAGGACATACCTATTAAAGTGTTGTCATAATCAATATATTGATTAATTATAAATTACTTATGCCGGTAGACATGAAATGTTAATCATAAATACACATGTAAATAACAATAAACAGATGACAACGTGTTTCATTGCTTTTTTCAACGATTCGCTACGTAAACGTTGTCTTTATACCACTGGTAACATAAGTGCATGTAGTTGTCACGACTATTTAATAAAGCTCAAAGTTATAATAAGTGCAAAATAATTTAAATTTGTTTCAATGTTAGCAATGCGTCAAGAAATCGTGATACTACTGTAAATATATATATCAACTGAGCGGTATAGAATACACAACATAAATATCTCCCAAAGAAATGTAATAATTGTGTGTCCTCCTTTAGGTATGTTGCATCTATATTCGTAGCAACTACACACTAAGAGCTCATTATACTTAAACATGCTTATATTCAATCCTTCACATAATGTCTGATAAACTACTTAAAATAAATTTATTGTTTTGATTAAGACCCACGTTGATTGTAATGTACAGACATATATTAAGTTAATCTATAGAATGATAGTTAGTTTAATTTGAAAGTCTTTGAAGTAACCATAATGTAATGTCATTACCGATAGCACAATAATAAGGACAATTTATTGAAGTTTGTTTCTCAGATTCAAATGGTGTTTTATTGTATAAGTAGTTTGAATTAAAACGTTTAGGCCTTTGAGACTGATGATATGCAAACACTCACATGTCTCCAATGTGATTGAAACACACATCAAACATTTGTAAAAATCAGTCAAGTTCCCTTTTAATTAAACCAGTGTAGTCAACACAAAAATGTCCTGTAAATAGGTCTTGTTCCCTTAAAATATATTTCTATTGTAATCCTTATTACCGGATTGCCGATTTGGGAGCTATCTTTAGCTACATCATAATCATATAATTCATTTCACCAAAATAAGAGAACATTTAGTATCTTTGTTTTATCTTTTTTATTGTTATTCTTGTTTATGTATTTATCTATATTTTTATTTATTTATTTATATTTTTATTTATGTATTTATTTATTTTATTATTTTGTCTTTATTAGGTTTGAGATGTAATGACTGCAGGTTAAAACTGACAATATCCTTAGTCACAGTGAAATGTGTGAAACTGGAATAACAGTTTATCTTTTTATCTTCAATCTTATCCAGTCCTTACCAAAGAATTATCTAGCATTTGCAAGCATGTCCTTTCTAATATGGCTTACAATAAAGGTAGAAATAATTCATTCATATTGATTTATTCAACAACACAAACAATACGTTACAATATTATCAAGTATTTTACTAAAACAATATTGAGGTCATACATAGTGAGCATTTTCGAGAAAAAAATCTTTTAGCTTTTAAAACCCTGAACAAAAGTTCGGTAATTTTGTCTTTTAATAGGATTGTTACCATGCTTGTTTTCGATCAGCCTGTTTTTCAGCCCTTCTACGAAAGATACAATGTACAACAATGCCTTCTTTATAAGATTAACTTTTAATTAGTGAATGCTTAAGGTTGTGGGAATGTAACATTCAGTCACCTAAACCCGAACAAAATGATACATTGATGTGTTTGGCATAAAGGTACCGGAAATAACTTTTTCGAGATCAATGTTCCGTTCGATGTACGTACAGACCGAAAACTTTATGCAACATTTCAGTTCATTTGCTCACTCCGTTTTCCATATTAATTATAATTATCGTGATAAATAACCCCTTATTGAAAAGTGCAAAGAAGTGTAGAAGGCCACGTGTAATTAAACAGATAATAAACGTAAATACGACAGATGTTAACATTTGAATGTAAAGAAAAGTCTGTACCACTGCATAAAGAACCAGTATAGTTCTAAATTTACTAGATTTTTTTTTTCAATATCACGGTAATTTACATATCAATACATATGCTTCTTGTTTTCATTGTTTTGAAATTTATTTTACCACACCGACACTTTTCCTCACAATATATTAAAACTGATTCTCATCTGAAACAGAAAAGGGTATTTAAAATGCTATAGTATCAGGTTTTCATTTTCTTAGTTAAAATATTATGTATAAAATAGTTTTAACATTTTTAACATAAACAAAAATGATCTTTAATAAAACCGTTTGTAAATTATAATGATGAATGATGGATATTATTTTTCAGGTAATGGTAACGAGATCAGCAATCTCAAATTTTATTTTTAGAATCAACAGACTTTTTTTCTGTTATTATTGAAAGTTTTAAATGAATTCTGTGAAAATGTGTTCATTCTGTCTTTACCTATGTCAAATATATAAAATTGTAACAGTCGTCTTTAGATATTCATGACTTCCCCTTAACACCCTCTAGCTAATAGTAAGAGATTTAATCCAAAAGACAAATAACATTGTAATCAGTAATCTAGAGGAATTAGAAAACTATGACAAATTTAAGATTGAGATAAATTAACGAGCAACATTTTTACAGTTGGTAGTAAGCATTTTTAACATCTGTTGATGAAAAGGCATATATATTGTACAGCGCATGTTCATGATGATCACCTGGAAAAAAAAAGTTTTTTTACATAATAGTAGAAGAAACGACGTTGAATGAATGTGTATAGGCCATGGAAAATAAATATGCATATAAGTTAAGAGAAAAGAACAACCTTAAAATCATCAATTCAATAAAAACGACACTTTATGGTATTGTTGTGACAATTCCTGATATTGAAAATATATAAAAGAAGAAATAACTTTGAGAGAACCTTTTGATTTTATCTGTTTAGTAAAGTTGAAGGCCTAGCGACCTAGCAACCTTAACTTTAAGTGTTGTAGAAGTTTGTCAAAGAAGTTAAAACCGACTCTTAAATAGTTTTATAGACATATCTTGTCATTTAAAAGTTATATAAAAAGAAAACAAATCACATTCAGAAAGTTTTGTTTTCCAGTGGCTTCGATACTAAAATTTTACTTTTGTAGAAATGGATTAAAACCAATTAAAACAGCACTTTGTGGAGTTCTTAAGTTAATTCTAGATATTTAAAAGGTAAATAAAAAGAAGAAAAAATCACTTTGAGAGAGCTTTTGTATTTATCATTCTGTGAAGATGGGGACCTAGCGGCCTTAGTTTTTAGTGTTGTAGGAGTTTGTCAAAGAAATTAAAATGACTCTTAAAAGACATATCTTGTCATTTAAAACTTAAATAAATCATTACTGTTATTGTTTTCCACTGATTATTAGTCACTTTATAATTGTTCTAATTGAACTGTTTAAGATAACAAATCATGTTCTTAGCATTTTATTTTGTACCTTATCTGTATACCATTTTGTCTATTTTGCGAACCGAATTTTATACAGTTTTGAATACACATTCTTTTGAAACACAACGATGGTAAGCAAAGTAGTTTCTATGTTGAGAACAGTATGATGACACGTGCAGATTATTTAAGTATTGATATTTACAAGATGATATGCCATCATGAGATTATTTAACTTTTGATATATGCAAGTTGATATGCCATTATCAGAATAAAGAAAGGAATTTTGCTGTTACTGTTTTCTCTTTTGATGTTTTTTTACTTAATCGATTTTTATGTAATTCATTAGTAAGGTAACGTACATTTTGACGTGAAGATTCACCAAAAAACCGATATAAAGCCAGTCATGTGCGTTTGCTGAAAATGACTCAGTCACTCTATACTTTCAAAGTATTTCCGATTAATGAAGATTATTAAGCATGAAATTTTTGTTCTGTCTGTTGTAGTTGTAGTACGTAATTTTTCATTTTTTAAAGATAGAATGCCGTTTTGTATAATTAGATAGTATTACTTTTTGTTAGCTGTCTATGATATACATATCAGTTATAATTTGATCCCTGATCATTGTTTTAGTTGTGTTCTCGATTAGAGGATAAGAGCACTCACGATATTTTCTTTCTTTCTTTTTCTTTTTTATTTGGGAAT